GTGTGTGTGTGTGTGTGTGCGTGACCGAATACGGTCAATAAGGGTTCAGTACAAACAATTGACCCGCTCAAAGCGGTGGCATTTTGTTCGCCATTGCTGAACAATGGGCTAAATATTGTCATACAGAATCATGGACATATATGAAAAGGGGATTGGCAGAATGGACATGTGAATTGGGTGATGATAGACAAGGTGTGAGTGGATGGCGCATTGTGAATGGATAACACAGTGAATGGTGTCTATTCCTCACTTTCGTCTGATTCCGGTTCGTGAGCATTTTCCGTTGCGTCTTCTGTATTCACCCCGTACATTTCTAATTCCTGTTTTGTCGGCTTATCTTTACGGGCCTTCAAGTCAATCAGCTGCACGTTTTTCAGTTGTCCGTTAACATACTGCAGCAGATTTGGATGTGGCAAGTGCTGCTGGGGGCCAACCGATGATCGTGTAATCAGCTGGCTCGGATTCGCCGCGCGTCGATTCTGCAACGGGGTAATATACTTGGCCACATAGCTGGCTGTGCCACGTGGGTCATGCACTCCTGATTGACTAGGTCCTTCCCAGAATTTACGTTGTGCCTCAGTGATGTTTGTTTTATTCAACGCCAGCTCAGTTTTCAACCACTCAGACATTTCCGCATCGAAATACTCATCAAACACTTTGCTAATTTTTTCCTTACGAACCAGTTTGACTTTTTTCACCGTGACCGGATCGACGAACACGCGTATTGCTTTCCAAATACCCTGGAAAAATGGATTATGATGGACCAGGAAAAATCGAGCCAAATGCTCCGGGTAACAATTGCCAAATGTCTGATTAAACTGTTTTCCCAGTTTTGGATTACAGCACGGGAGTGTCAAACCTGAGGCAAAGAGATTGGTATAGCAATAGCGAAGAAAAGAGTAGGTGGAAGTGAATTCCGATTGGATTGGGATATGTTTTCACAACGAAAAAAAATTTCAATGTAAATGGGTACAAATGAACACCGAAAAAATGTATATTCGGTCTTTGTCAAGTGTGAGCTGGATTTTACTAAATGTCAAACAAGATGTACGAAGTCTTCGATCGAATTCGTACTGAGCGTAGTGCCGATATTACATTAGTTATAATCTACATTTGATTGGGTATTTGTGAAATGTGGCAGTTGCTCCTGTAAAGCTTCATATGTATAGTCTGACCACTAATGCCATTGTCAGGTGCCAGATCCTTGACGGACACAAACCGGGACTTGAAGTGCAACGAGAGATGCTTAGAACATTTATTGTGCATGTCTTCACTCCGATGGACTGGAGTGGCGTGAAATAGTGGCGATGGTCTTTGGTTCAGAAGCTAACGAAAAGATGGTATTGAGTGGTGTGCGACATTCTGGTTAGCAGGTAATTGATAGGCCCAATCAGCGGCACTTAGCATCCTGGTGTTTGAAAAGTTTTTCATGCAATCTTGAGCGCAGTTTTCAGTTTCCCTCTCGCGTTGTGAACGGCCATTACCTTTCAGATGATACAGTGTCCTATGGATTTGGAACAGAGATAGCAACAGATACTGTCGCATTCCTGAATAGAACTTTCTATCCGTCCCCACCGTTATTCTTCTGAATACTTAGGGTAACTTTTGCAATTAATTATCAAAAGCTTTTGTTGAATTCTGAATATTCTTGAATAGGTAACTCTTATCAAATCATTATTCCTCTGGGTCAGAGATCTGTTCTTGTTCAAGCTGTCTCAGCTATTTTTGCGCGCAATCCGACTCCAGTTTTTGAAATTTTACGGACCGGACACATTATGCAAACTCTATCCTGGTGTAGCGAGTAATAAACATTTTTCTGGTAATCACCCAAAGATGAATTTTCATTCATATTTTACTTTTGAGATACCGGCAATATCTCTCTGACAGACAGGCCATGAAGGGAGTTCTTCTTTGTTTAAACACTGTTTGTCCGGATCTAACAGAATCCCGCAAATGCTTTGTGAAACAGATCTATGCAACTGCGCTTTGACCATCTCCTCAGAGTGTTATCTCAGTCTCAGTTAAAACCAATGAGATCATAGACAAGCGAAACCCACCGGTACAGTCAATGATGATAATCCACTGGTCCTTCCCGGGCTCGTCACATCGCATCGCGTTTTCAACCAGATAGACCACGTGGGCGATCACATCCTCAGCCGTGTTTTTCAACGTTTGACATTGAGCGAAACAGGCGTATAACACTGGACGTCCTTGTGGATCGAAACCGACTTGTCGCTATAGTGAAGAAAGATAAAAATTAGATGCATACATACGACGAAAATGACCAAGAATTCGAACATTACCATTTGAATCTATTATAAGGTATTTTTTGTCTTTAGAGAACTCTAATTGGATGGATTATCCGGTAATATCACCATTCAAATTTGCACGACCTTGAGTGTAGCGATATAATTTGTAGTTTTTGTTCGTTTGTTCGAACGTTTTTTCACTTTTATGAAGTCTCTGAATGAGCCAAGTTCAATGTTGAATTCATTCAACTACCACCCAACAGCTGGGATTTGAATGTCGTCGAAAACTATTCCCTCTTTTGGAAACAGGGTTAAGTTAACCACCTTGACAGTGGTCGTCATTGACAAGACTGCGGCAAGTAGTAGAGGAAACTGGCAAATGCTGTTTGACAGTCAACCTGGTGATCTTCATGCTGAAACAACTGTCCCATCGCTCAAAAGTGAACATTGATGAAATGAAGGTCTAATACCTGTATCATGCTTATGGTTCATTTTTATAAACAACTTCTATTGATATTTTTTTTACCAAGACTTAGTTATTTTACAATTGACGCACCACCAACCGTCGTCGAAACCGAGAAATTTACATTTCAATGGTATTCGATCAATAGAAATAAAAATATAAATGGATATTACTACAGATATGTTACGTCCAATGTGGACAATATCTTATTCAACCCCGTAAATGAGGTTCAAAAAACTGTGATGTAATTCAGGGTGTTGCACGACTGTGATCAGTAACCAGTACATAGTATTGTATTGTATTATATTGTATTGTATTGCATTGTATTGTATTGTTACCTTCAATAGTCGGTGTTCACGACTCGCTACTGGGAACTGAACATTACTTGTATCACCAGGATCAGAATTGGAAATTGACCGTTTAGCAATAACTTTTTTGGTTAGCAGAAAAATCATGACGAAGTTTTTCCTCAAGTAATAACATTCATTCGTATACAGTGTTAATCCAAAGAACAATATTTTACCTTTATTTTGAACATTTTAAGGTGGTGCGCTGCAACCNTTGGATTAACCATCTAGATGTTCGTTCATTAACAGATCCGAGTACGATTGCGAATGGTTTTATCCCATAAATTAGGCCTACGGGTGCTGATAAAGTTTCGTTACTAATGTTTCTATTCATGAGTAGAAAAGCTTCACGGGCAATGCAGATGAAATCTATCGATACTGATTATGGTAAGGATGTCATGCCTATGTAGTATAAGCTCAAACAAGGTGAATTTGATATTGTAAACCTGATATGTTCATTGCTAATAAATGGTTCATTTAAAAAGCAGATATACGCAATCGTCGAATCATTCATCGATGTTCTCTGTTCATGTCCAGAGTTTTGTTTCGTCCGGATCAGGACCAGCAAGATCAGATGATATGTGCGTGATCTCAGTCACTTGAGTGACATTTGTTTCATTTAAGCATGGCGCATTGGGTTGGAATTTCACGTTAATTTAGGATAGGGCTAGTTTTAATCAGACGGATGGAAAACAAGACCATTGGAAAGCTTTGATCACTGGTACCTTAGATTCGTCTTGAAATTAAAATTTGGTGACAGAAGCTCTGATCAGACTCTTGGGAATCCACGTCATATAAATTCCTTCGTAAACCCAACGTCACCCTTGTTAAAATGGACAGCATACCATCTCCATGTTCTGGTGCCACTGATGGGAGGGAAAAGGGAAAACCTATCTGGAGAACAGATTCGACAAAATTGGTCTTATGATGGAGAAGAATCTTGATCAGCGTTTGTTCAGACCCTGAAGCCGGCCGGCATACATATACATGATCATTCAGAGATATTCCTGATGTTTCTTTCCTTTTACTCCCTTGGAACCCACCAACAGAAAATAAAAATATGCTAGTTCAAACCGTCAGAACAGTTTCGTAGCTCACGATAAATTGAAAAAAAAACAAAAAAAAGCGTCTCACAATTGATGACCGGATCCTCACGTAATCAGCGCCGTGCCCGCAACAGTACTCCTCCATACATCAAGCACGACTGGAGAAACTTAATGTTCTCACACATATGCCATGTAAAATCGATCACGTGTCCCCGCGAGGTGACAAGGAATGCGTACGCCGTGTGATATCACGCTATCGTGAATGATGCCCGCTATTGATTGGTTTGTAGGCGTGTGTTATTCCGGACGCTTTAGGAGTGTGAATGGGGCGGCCTTTCTGTTGCAAGTTATGCGACATATACGGAAGAATATCAATTGCTGCAAACCACATTTCAGTTCAACCACTATCCAGTGAACAGCAATGTAAGGAAACTGCAAGTCATATTCCTGGTGTTGTTTCACTCAAAACACTGCAGACATTTCAGTTATCTTGAAATCAGAAAAGTTCTAACATCAAGGCACTTATGTTCCACTCTCAACTAACCTAGGTATAATCAATATCGTGATTTTAAATCCATGTAACTTTTTGCAATAATCATCTTTAAATCGTTTGTGAATATATCTTTGTTGCAACTATTTCAAGCATACATCAATGTATTCTCTTTGCTTCACAGCCGCATATATCTCGAGGCAGACTATTAGGTGACTTACGATTCCATGAAATCCTGGAGTCTGCAAACAGTATGTGCAATCCACTTGCCTGGGTCGATAAGTTCGACGCCATTCAATTGCGCTGGACAGTTGTTTGAACGCATCGTTCAGAACAAATTTTCGTGCCTTCAGGAAGCGCCGAAGCCTAACAGAGTCCATTGAATAACAGAACAGTGGGAGCAGGAGAGGGAAATGAAGGGAAAATGAAATGTTTCGTGATTTTTCTCTCTTCAACCACAGCCGACAAACGTTGAAAATATTTCGATACACCTTTTCTAATAGACTGAACTCTACAAATCGCACAGTTTACCATGATCATACGACCATTTTTCAGAAACATTGCTGAACCCGTATATATTTGAGATACGTCCGCAAAAAGCTGAGTAGGATAGTTCCGATGACTAGAACCATGATGCTTATTCCTGTGATTCAACAAAAGATCAAGCTAAACTTGCAGACAGACTGCATTCGATCTCATTGCGACTCCACCAGATCCAATAAAAGACGGGTGTGATACTGAAAACTAAGTGGTTTGGTGGTAACAGGGCTCGAACGGATTACTTTTGGGGTCGAGATCACATCATAGTATCCCTTACATCGCTCAACTAACATGACGACACGATGCCAGATGAGTTCAGTGACTGCAGTGGCAAATCTAAACAGTTAGGGCATGGTGCTCTCACAAACAGGAAAATTGATATACAAATTCAGGTTTGGTTAGTTTAGTTATAGTGAGTCAATCCTCCCAGATGACGTCAGCCAACCGCCCACGCGTTACATTTTCTGAACAACTAAGAACAGGCGAATCGTGCCAATAAATCAGAAGTCGTACTCTTCAAATAGAAGCTGTTTGGCGTGAAGAATACAAGTAGACCATTTGTGGATACCAGGTTAGCCGATAAACTTCTTTTCGTACATGTTATTTAATCCCGTCGTTTTCTTTCAATAAATGAACTACTACTTCTGTGGCCTTTTCCTTGCCTCTCGAAAATGGGATATTCCAGCGTGCAAGTTCTAGTGAAACTCAGTGTTTCAAAATCTTTCGTTATTCGTAATCTGTCCCTACTACCACATCAACCTCCCAACAAAACTGGTTTTAGCGCCCGTTAATAAACCAAATCACT